CGAGCGAGTGGACGGCGCTGAATCCTAATATTGAATATAATAATAATAATAACACTAAGAACAATGATGTCGAGCGAGTGGAGGCGCTGTATCCGTCGCTCGACACGGACGCCTCGAGCCCCGCACATGGCTGCACCATCTCGCACAGCACCGCTGGCCTGCCCGCGTAGCGCGCATCTCCGCGCAGAGCCGCCTCGATGTCGCCGCGCGTCGCAAAGTCGACGCCACGCTTGAAGACGAGGTCGCCTAGGACAGGCCCGGGGGAGGTCCGGGAGAGGGTCGAGGAGAGGCGGGGAGGCTGTCTCGTGCCGCGGTCGCCGATGCCGAGGTACGAGTCGGAGATTTTGCAGACGAGGTCGCAACCGCCGCTCTCGACGCCGCGGCCCACGTCGCGCAGCGCGTGGCCGTCCCACGACCCGAGCTGCAGCGGCCTGCGGCGAGGAAGAGAGGGATGCGGCGATGAGGAGGTAGGGGGGAGAGAGAGAGCGAGGCAGCGAGGACGAGGACAGCGCGGAGGCTGCGGCCTGCGTGCTCCAACGCCGTCAAGCAGGCCGTACCAGTACTCCTTTGTGCAAATGGTGTAGCGAAGAGTGTGGTCGATGGCGACGCGGTTGTCGCCGAAGAGCACAAAAGCCGCCACCCAGTCGGCAAGCGGCCTGAACGCGTCGTAGATGATGGCGGCGGCCTTCGACGGAGGTGGTTGGTACCAAATACACGGCTCCTCGCCGAATCGAGGATCCCACTCATCCTCCCTCATCACAAACTGCTTCAGCCGCTCGCCCCACGCAATCGCAGCGAGGACCGCCGGCGTGACCGGCAGGAGGAGCGTCATGGCCGTGCCTGTGAAGCCGCCGTGCCAAAGTCGGTTGTACTGCAGCGCGAAGCGAGCCAGTCGCAGCGGCTGGGTCGCGAGGCAGTAGCAAAAGAGAGCAGTCGCAAGTGCAAGGCGACTGAGCATGTCGGCGGTGCTGTACCACCCAGCGGCCGGCGGCCTCGCCTCGAGCTGAGCGTGAAAACCCCACGGGACAGCTCGCATATCTTCAGCAAGGCCACCCATTCCACCAAATTGATCTCACGCTAAGTACAAAAAGAATTTAAGAACGCTTGTTTGGATCTTGGCACGGCAAAACAGAAGTCTCAAAACAAAATAACGCTCCCCTCTTCTCTCTCCCACGCGGTCCTTAGAGCTTACCTCATACAGTTTATACTGCTACCGGGAGGGGACCCACGCTAGGACCCACCCTCGGCCGCGCCCGCAGGCGGCCCTTTCCCCGAACTCAGCCGCTCGAAGGCCGCGTCGACATTGCCCTCGGAGGCGGCCAGCGCTGCGGCGACCTGGTCGTCGGAGACTCTGCCCTCCAGGCCCTCCCGCCGGAGCTTCCGACCGAGGCGAAGCGAGCCCGGCTGCGCCCCTTGCGCCGCCGCCGCCTGGACGATCAGCGTCCAGCCCCGCGTCGCCTCCTCGTCGTCAGGCTCCGCAGCACCGCTGGCCACCTGTTCACAGCTAAACGTGTGATCGGGCTGTGAGCGCCGGGCACCTTGAGCGCCGCCAGCCAAACTGTGTGTCTAGCAGTCCAGACCCAAAGTGGCTCGGCCGGTGACAGGGTGTGATCTCGTGTCGGCTCCCCACACGTGTGTGTGTGTGTGCGACTCGTCCGTGCTAGGGTCAGCGTGGGTGAGGTTGATGACTGTGGCGGAAGTCGGCGGCGCGCCTCCTCGTCACGCGCGCCGTCGTGCATCATGCTCTCGCTCAGGCCGGGCTCGGCGGCGAGGTACGCGGCCAGGTTAGACCGCGCGGCGTGCGCGGAGGGGCACAGCGCGTGGAGCCAGCGCAGAGCGTGGCCGAGTGGCAGCTGGCGCCACGCTCGCGGCAGCTCAAAGCGGTCGTCGTCGATGAAGGCGGACCAGCGCCTACGCCGCGAGCGGACGGCCGCGTAGAAGGCGGCGAAGAAGGGGGCGTCGAGGTCGAGGTAGATGGCGCAGTGGCTCACGGCGAGGGCCTGCCCGATCGTCCTGGCGTGCGAGACGAGCAGCTGCTCGACGAAGAAGTCGACAGCCTCGGGGATGTACAGGATGCGCATCAGCGGTTCGAAGAAGCTGCGCCACGCGGGGTCGAGAGTGACCGTCCTGCTGCCCCCGAAGCGATCGGTGTCCTGCAGCAGCGTCAAAAAGGCGCTCCGGCACGCCTCGCGATGCAGGTGGACTTCGCGCGAGTCGTCTCCGTCAAAGTCGACGCGCAGCGTCCAGGTCGCGCCCGCTGCGGAACCGAACGAGGAGTCGAGCAGCCCGCCGCCGGGCGAGGAGTCGAAGAGCCCGCCGCCGTGATCCAGCTTGCGCTTCAGCATTACTGTGGGCCTTGCTCCGAGTGGGCGCGTCCTGCAGTTAGCGAAAAAGAATTCTTGCCTGGCGACTCACTCACACTAGGCACGGGGAGCTCGATAGACTCGAGGGGCCAGGATACGCCGCGAGGAGGACGGAGTTGCGCCGAAAGGCGAAAGAAGCCGCGAGAACAAGGGACCGGCAGGCGGCGGCGTCGCAGGACGAGGCAGAAGAGAACGACGCGACAGAGGAGGAAGTGACAAGGGAGAGAACGACGATGGTGGGACGACCGCGAGGTGGCATGAAGGTTGCAGCGAGAATCGGCGAGAGACTGCGAAGAGAGATAGGAAGAGGCAGACTCCCTAGGGTGGGCGACGGATAGCGCACCACACACCTCTCCTTAAAATCCCTGTGTGGTGGCGGCGTGCCGTCCTCCCATCCCTCCCTTGGGTTGTCTGTTTTCTTTCTTTCTTTCTTTCTAGGCACGGGACTGGCGCGCACTGGCACTAACACAGGTACACCACGGGAGCCGCCTAAGCGACTCCTGCGAGGACGGCGAGGCACTTAGCTCCGTGCACTCGACCGCCCTCGCCGCAGGCAAGCTCATTCACAATCTGCTCTGCGATGGCCGTGTGAAGAACGACCGAGATACGCTGCTTCTGCAGCCCTAGCCAGTTCTTGGTGGTCCAAGTCACCTCATCGAGGTACTGGGCCCGCGTCAGTTTGTTCTGCAGCACGTTCGCCGCCCCCCAGAGGATCTCGCCGACCCCCTTCCCAAACCCACCGAACGACTCGAACAGCAGCAGCCGCACGTCGACGTCCTTGTCCTCCCTGGCGTAGCGATACTCGCCGCCATAGAGTACTAGACTGCCACAATCAGACACTGGCAGTGACTGAGCCCTGGCTGTCAGGCTGTCAGGTGCTGTCAGGTGATCTGTCGGGCTGTCGGGCAGCTGTCAGGCACTGTCGGGTGCCTCTGTCAGACCAGCTGTCAGGTGCTGTCAGTGCTGTCGGGTGCTGTCGGGTGCGTGTCTGACAGGCGAGGGGCTCTGTAGCTGTCGGGTGCTGTCGGAGCTGTCGGGTGTTGCTGTCAGACGCTGTCAGACGCTGTCGGAGCTGTCGGAGCTGTCAGGCTGCTGCTGCTATCAGACATTGGGCCGTTGCTGTCAGGTGCTGTCAGGTGGTGCTGTCGGGGTGCTGTCAGGCTCTGCACACACCAGCCACACGTATGACACTATCAAGAGGAGACCAGCAGGACTCTACTACACATACTTAGCCTCTACTCTGCCTCCTACCAAACGGCTTGATCACGCCGGCGGCGGCGGCCGCCTGGGGAGCGCAGATGGCGGCGCAGGCGCAGCGGCGGCCGCTCTCTTTTATGTCCCACTTTGCAGAGCGCATCTCTCTCTTTCTGTTGTGCGAGGCGTGAACCGCGCCATTCGCTCTCACCTGGCAACCCTGTCTGCACGTCTCTCGCGCGCGTGAACAGGACTCTCCAGGCCCCAAGTGACGTGTGAGTGTTAGAGTTGTTTGGTATTGCTAAAAATCTCTCAGCAGTTCGATCCCGCAGAGCTCACCCCAAAGTAGCGGTGGTGTGGTCGAGGATGGAGAGCCTGTAGCCGGGCACGGCGTCGTTGCAGGATCCGGCGCCTGCGCACACCCCCGCCTCGGTGCCTCCCGAGTTGGGCGTGAGCCAGACCTGCGTGCCGGCGTGCTGCCACTGGTGAGGGGGGTCAAGGAGGCCACGTCGGGCGGCACGTGCGGGATCGAATCGCGCTGGTTGACTTACGCGCCACAGCAAAGGCGGCGTTTCCCACCGCGGGGAGGCGAAGCTATAGAGGAGGGGCAGCGGCGAGAGGGCGGAGAGGGAGCCGTCGGCCGCCCACTCGGCCGCCATCAGCGTCGCGAGCGAGGCGCCGCAGGAGTGGCCGGTGACGACCAGCCGGTACGTCGGGTGCTCGGCGAGGAGCGCCTCCACGCCCTGCCTCACGCGCCCCCGCAGCTGCACCCAGCTCTCGCCCCAGCCGTGGTGCACCCTCTCGCCGCACGACCCGCCCGCCACGCCGTCCTGCCACGTCTGGAAGTTGGTCATCCACGCTCCCGCGTCGAGGTCTCTCGTCCCGCGAAAGGCGACCACCACCCACCGCTCCTTGGCAGCACGAGCAGCGCGGCGAGCTCTGGTCCGTCCTCGATAGGCGGCGCCTGGGTGGCGAAGCGGGCAACCTCGCCCACGAGCGAGGCCGCCTTCGAGTACGCCTCGCAGCTCGGCATCCCCGGGTTGCAGCTCGAGAGGCGAGGAGAGTCAAGTTGAGGGGAGGCGGCGCCACGGCGTCGCAGCGGCCGCCGTCCACGTCTGAATCCCGCCCACACTGCACAGCAAAACCGCGTTGAGCTGCATCAGCAGCTTTGCCGCGGTAAGGTTGAGGGGCGGGCTCACCTCGGCGGGCCGCGAGGCGGGCGCGTGGCAGCCGTCGTCGAGCGGCAGCGAAATTGTGTGCGGGTCGCCAGCAAGCGGCTCCGAGTCCAGCAGCGCCCGCACGCGCCATTCAGTCGCCGCCTTGAGCGACCACACTATCCCCAGACAGCAGACAGGCCGACGTCTGCACGCGGCCGGCCGGGCGAGAGGCTTGACACGATCCGACCCTGCGAGACCCTGACGCTGCTGCTCTAGCTATCAGACATGCGCGCTGTCTGCTGCCACAATGTGCGACCTGTGCTGGCCCACTTGGCGGCCTTCCCGGTCAGTGGTGAGGCGCAGTTCAGAGCTGTCGATGGCGCGATGCCGCACTGGTCCCACATTGGTGACACGAGACCACCAAGTTTGCCGGTCCAAGAGAGAGGCACCGGCGCTGTCCTGAGAAGGTGCGTGGTCCCTCTTGACTGCCCATGCGCGCGAGGCTGTGTAGGCATAGCCTCGAGAGTGCCAGCAGCCAATCCGAGGCAGTTTGTGACCGGCATTGCGTCAGAAGCGTGCACGCGCTGGAAGGACACATCGATTCCTACTCCGTACGATCAGGTCGTCACTGAATGCTGGATACTAACTAAGGCCGCGAGCTATACAGGTGATCAATTGTGCAGCATGGCACGGTCAGCAGTGCCGACAGGCTGTCGCAAGGCGTGATAGCACGGCCGCAAGTAGAGGGTGTGGACCGTGAGTTGAGGAAATCGGGGGACGCGACCCACCTCGCCACAGACGGTGCCGCGCCTCGCCACTATGACGGCGGCACGGCCGCAGCTCGTGTGCGTGCCGCCGTCTTTGTCCGGAGTGAATACTCCAACGCGCTCGTCGGTGACGGTGTCCCCCAACCTGCGCCGCGCTCGGCGAACCTCGACAGCGCCTTCGGTGGCATGCATCTCTTTGCGCCTGAAGCCTGGAGAGCAGCTCCTCTGCTGCTCACACACTCTGCACAGTTGACACAGCCTACTGTGCGGCTGCCACAGCTGTGACAGCGATGGCCTCGCCCTCACTGGCCCTCAGTCACTTGTGCTGCGGCTTGTGTGAGCGACACTGCTCGGCGACTGCCGGCACACACTGTGAGACCATGGGTGTGAGGTCAAACCACGCTACCAGCGCTTGGTCACATCGGCCCCGAGGTCAGATTCTTCTACTCTGTTGATGACAAGACTTGTCTGCTGGCTGGAGCCGAGCACGGGAGGGCCCAGCGCACAACCCCTGGTCAACTCAGGGCACAGGGGCGCCCCCCCGTGTACGGCGTATTCGCCGAATTCCCATGAAAACAAGTAAAAATGTGGCAAAAAGAAAAATGGAAACGAAATCGGCGCCTGCGGCGGGCCATGGGACCCCCCCCCCACCTAGGGCCCCCGCGCCCCCGGAGAGTTTTTTTCTCTAAAGGACCTCTTATCCGTCATCGACTCTCTAAAGGACCTCATCCGTCAGAAATACTTGGAGAACCCCTCCGCACGCACGGTCCACGACCCGTCACGCGGAAATCCGGGCGCGGGGCGGCCGCCGTCGCCGTCCCACCCGCCCGCCATGAAGGCGACGGCGGCGAGGAGCGCGCCGTTCGCCGGCAGGTAGACCGGCAAGAAGGCGTTGGCGTAGTGCCCGCTCGGCGCAAAGCGGCGCGACCACAAGCCGTCCGGATCGGCGAGGATCGAGGCGGCGAGCGAGGCGTTGCCGAGCCGCGCCGCAGCCATCGCGTACATCGCGGCGTCGGAGCCCCAAGGCAAGTTGCGCAGCAAGGCCGCGATGGTGGCGCCGAGCGTGTTGCGGAGCGCGGCGGCGTCGGCGCCGAGCCTCTCGCCTGGTGCGAAGGCAGCGGCGAAGAGCTGCGGCGCGACACCGTTCGAAATCAGGGCGGCGTCGCTCGATCGCTCGTAGGGGCGGTAGCCTGGCGGCGCCCCTGGCACGCCACGCAGCGGCCGCGCCGTCGGCTTGCACAGCCGCGCAAGGACCTCCTGCCACGCAGGCACGGGCGGCAGTCCGAGCCGCCTCCGCCACCGCGCCGCCAGCGTGAGGCCAAAGCGCCAGTAGACGAGCTCAAAGGTGGGGTTCTGGGAGGTTGCGTCGCTCGCCGGCCGCCCTTCGTTCGACTCGACCTCGGCTGTCCACAGCGGCGGACCTACGGGACATGTCTCGGACATGTCCTCGACGTGTCCTGGACTCGACCTCGGCTGTCCACAGCGGCGGACCGAGCGGCAGGCAGGCGTGCGGCTCGGAGGGAGGGAGGGGCGCCAACACAAAATCGGCCATGAAATCGGCGCTGTCGTGCACCGTCCGGTTGTGCCGCTCGACCGTGGCCTACAGGACATGCCTCGCACATGTCATGGACGTGTCCTGGACATGTCCGGTTGTGCCGCTCGACCGTGGCCGCGTCCGGCGCGGAGCGGTAGGCGAGCTCGGCGAACACGATGGGGTGCACCTGCACAGAGTCAGTGATCTAGCCACTCGCCTGTGTTGCCATGCGTGCGTGCGTGCTTGCGTGCGTGCGTGTGCGTGTGCGTGTGCTGCCATGTCCATGTGCGCGTGCAGCCCCACAGCGTGCAGTGGGCTGCAACCCCTCGGCCCCCTGTGTGCATGCACCTGCTCCCACACAATGAGCGGCCCCGCACCGCCCGGGCCGTCGAAGAGCGGCGCGCCCGCCGGCTCGACGGCGTCGCCGATCGCCGGCATCAGCTGCGGTGGCCCCGCCATCTTTGGCCACCGCACGCCGCGATAGCGCTGCGCGACGCGCGTGTGCCGCCGCGCCTGCGCCCTCACGCGCTCGAAGTACGGCTCGCAGCGCAGCGCCAGGTCGGGCCGGCCCCAGAGGAAGTGGTGGGCGCTGTGCATCCATCTTTTTGGGGAGGAGGAAGGGGGGGGGGGGGTCAGTTGCGGAGCTGGCATCGGGGAGCGGGCAGAGAAGAGGGCGAGGCGCGCCGCATCTCGGTGTGGAACTTGCCGTACCACGAGTTGAGGACAAGCCCCGTCTCCTGCGGCGGCACTGCTCCTCGAGATCACCCGAGATCGCCCGAGATCACCCGAGGTTGCACGAGCGGTCATCTTCCTGCGGCGGGCTGCTCCCCGCCTCCTGCGACATCGAGAGGTACTGTGAGCGCACGACTCGAGCCTCGAGCGCGGCGGCGCCTGCAGAAAAAGAAACACGCGCTGCAAGAAATGTGCGGAGACAAGGCGCCTCGAGGGCGGCGGCGCCCTTGGCCGCGCTGCCGGACAAGTCGAGCGCCGCGCCGCGCGACCACTCGCGTGGCCAGTGCGCCGCCGCCGCCGCAAACACCTCCGCCGCCGAGGGCGGCGCGACCTGCTCGCGCGCGGGCGACAGCCACAGCGTGGCGTCGAGGCAGGCACTGCCCTCCCCCGAGGCGCCTCCCTCCACGCCTCCCTCCACGCCTCCCCCCTCCGCGCGGGCGATCGACCAGTCGTGCGGCACGCGGCCGGCGGCGAGGTGGGGGCAGCCCCCGCCGCCCAGAGCGAGGTGGACGTAGTGCGTCGTCGCGTCGAGGCGGCGGAGGAGGACCGGGCGGCCGTCGCACCGCCGCCCGCCGCTGACGAGCGTGGAGGCGTGGCGGTCGGCCTTGCCCCACTCGAGCCCTCCCTGGAAGGCCTCCGATCCGTACGGGAAGGCGAGGCCGAGGCCGAGGCGGCGCGACCGCACCTGGGCCAGGGCCAGGGCCAAGGAGTCAGAGTCAGGGCCAGGGCCAGGGCCAAGGAGTGAGAGTCAGGGCTCGGGCTAGGGCCAGGGCGTGTCCGCACCGCTGGGGAGCAGACCCGCGTGGCGAGGGCGTCGAGGGAGGGGTGGACGGCGGTGACGACCGACACGGGCGCGCCGTCGAGCTCGAACGAGGAGGTCAGCGTACCGTTCCAAAGGTGGAGCGTCTGGCGAGGCGACCGCAGGTCGGACGGCGCGATCGGAGGCAGGCGTGGGTCGGTGCGGCGGAGGAAGAGGCGGAGCAGCGAGAGGCGGTGAGGGTTGGCGCGCAGCCAGGCGGTCTCGGCCGCCAGCTTTGGCTGCAGCACGGGGTACCTGGCGGAGTGGTTGCGCGCAGAGATCTCCGCCTCGGTGAAGCGGAGAGGCTCCACGCCGGCCGGCGGCGGCGTGACGTGCCAGCCCCAGTCGGCGTGCGTCTGCGTCAGCAGCGGCGGGGAGAGGTAGGTGGCGTTGAGAGTCTGCAGGCCGGTCACGTCTGCGGTGAAGGCAGTCTGCCCGTTGCCCACCGACAGCACGGTTTGCGGGTCGACAGAGGTCACGACGACATTGGCGCGATCGACGAGCGCTCGGCGGTCCACTCGAGCACCGTGCCGGCCCTCCAACTTGATCGGCCGCTGCTCCAGCGTCAGTCCTGGATTCGGTACTTCAGTTTGGTATGGTATCATTGCATCGAAAAATCGGCGGCCGCCACCTCGCACAGGTCTCATAAACAAACGGGGCCACCCTGGGTTCCGGCTCCTAGCCGGATAGAGGGTCTGTGGCCACTGACTCGCGCCAAAACGCCCTACCTACCTACCTACACAACAAAACAACGAAGGCCCGCCGCCTGAACATGGGCTGCAAGGCGCGCGGGCAGCCCAGCCAACCCTTCTCCCACAAGACCGGCCACGGCTACGTCAAGGCGCATCGCGGTTTCTACCACGACGCGATCTTTGTCAAGCGCAACAACTTCAACCTGCTGCTCCACGAGACGTTCGGCGGCGGCTTCTCGCCCACCGCCGTTCTCAAGCTGCGCCGCCTCGCGCGCAAAGTCGCGCGCGGCAGCGTTGACCGCACGGCCTACTCGCCCAAGTACTCGCTCTCTTTTATGTCCCACCATGCAGAGCGCATCTCTCTCTCTGTTGTGCGAGGCGTGAACCGCGCCATTCGCTCTCACCTGGCAACCCTGTCTGCACGTCTCGCGCGCGCGTGAACAGGGCTCCAGGCCCCAAATTACGTGTGAGTGTTAGAGTTGTTTGGTATTGCTAAAAATCTCTCTCTCACAACAAAACAATCCCTATCCCCAGGCCGCGCAGCGAAGCGAAAAAAGATGAAACCAGATTGTACCTACCTATTGCAGGGCCCTTTTGAGCGAAACAAGACCAACCTACCTACCTATCTGGGAGGGGCCAGCCAGTGGGGCAGATCCCCTATCCGGCTAGGAGCCGGACACCCTGATTGCCGATTGCGAGACCTCGAGAGAAACGCTTCATCCACGGTCGAGTCCACAGTTCGTCGGCGCGAGCGCCTGTCGCGGAGAGCGCAATGCCGCCGCGTGATGCCCATGAGCAGGCGGGCGGGCTGGCGGCCCGGCTGCTGAACCTCAACGTCGCCACAACTGCTGCGAGGTCCGAGGCGGCCGCCGAGGCAGTGGCAGCGGCCCAGGAGGACGCCGCTCGTCGAATCGCCTCCGCCGAGGCGGACTGTGCGGCGCGCGCGACGGCGGCAGAGGAGGTGGCCGCAAAGCTCGCCAACCGCGCAGCGGAGGTCGAGGCTAAGGGTGCGGCCGAGCGAATCGCAGCAGCAGAGGAGGTGGCGGCGCAGCACGCGGCGGCGCTCGAGACGGCGAGCATGGACTTTGCGCGGCGGCTGGCTGCGATTCAGGCCGCCGCCGACGAGCGGGCGGCGGCGGCGGAGGCCGCGTCCGCCGTGGCGGCAGAGCGGGTGGCGGCGGTCGAGGCGAGGGCTGCGGAGAGGGAGGTGCGCCCTCGCCGCTCGCAGCTCGCCGCTCGTCTCACGCGAGCTGTCACTCCTCCTTCGGCCGGCTCTCCAGGTGGCGCTCGCCGAGGAGGCTGCGCGCAGGCGGGTGGAGGCGGCGGAGGCTAGCGTTCGCGACATCGCCGGTGTGTGAATCTTCCCAGAACGCACCGGGTCACTCCCGAGACACGCGTGTTTGGCGGCGCATAGCCGCAGGAAAGAAGGCGGCGCATAGCCGTGCACGAGACACCACTTCACTCTCCACTGGACCTCTCCCCGTCTCGCTCCTCCCCCTTCTCACTCCTCCCATCTGCCCGCGGTCGGGTAGCCGCCGCGTCCAGCCGGGCGGCGGCAACGGAGTGGGCGGCGGCGGAGCAAGTGGCCGCTGCGCGTGCTGCGGTGGCCGAGCCGGTCGAGCAGGCGGTCGGGGTGTGACGCCTTCGCGGAGCCTTCCTGGAGCCTTCCTCTTAGGCGGCCGAGGAGCTGCAGCGGGTGGGCGGGCTTGGAGCCGGTGCGGAGGGGGCGGGCGGGACGCGTCCTCCACTCGTACGATGGCTCCGCAGGCTGTCGGTCTCGTGTCGGTGGAGGGGCGGGTCGGGCTGCGCCTCAAGGCAGCCGTGGGCGGGGCACACGGGCCGCCCGCTCCGCACCCCGCGACGCACCCCGCGACGCGTCCCCCCCGCCCGGGCAGGTCCTCCTCGACATGGTCGCCGGCATCGAGATCGAGATGGAGACCGCCGCCTCCGCGAGGGGCGAGGGTGTCGGGCCGGGCCCCGCCCTCCTCCTCGCCTCCCTCCGGCAGGACGTCCTCAAGGCGCCGGCCCGCCGCTCCGCCCGCCCGACGAGTCGGCGCATCGGCTGGTTGACGGACTGGCTGATTGAACAGGCGCCGGCCCGCCGGCCCGCCGGCCCGCCGGCCCGCCCGGCGGAGGAGCTCAGATGGGCTGGCCGAGTGGTGGATAGGCGCCGGACCGGCTCTCCGGGGACCGTCCCTTCCTCGACGCCGTCTCGCAGGTCGTGCAGCTGCGCGACCTCGTGGCGAGCTCCTCTGCCCTCTCGGCGCAGCCCGTACTGCCCGAGCCACAGCCACAGCGCACGTTCGAGTCTGAGCACTACGAGCCGTTTGGCGGCAGCGTAGTGCTACCTCAGACGTGACTTGTACCAGCGAACGTTGACTCAGTTAGAGGGAGAGGCTAGGTTGCCCGGCTCAGAAGAGGAGGGATGTGGAGAGGGAGAGCCGAGAGCGGGGCCCCGTCGCGGTGAGAGCTCAGCATGCGTTGGCGTAGATGTCCCGGCTGATGTGGGGGTGTAGGTACTAGGTAGGTAGGGTAGGTTCGTGGGAGGTTATTAGTCCCGCTATCTATGGATATGTAAGAGCCACTAATGCAATTGTTGGCCACCTTATGCACATCCATGCCCACGGTCCGTAGGACGTCGCTGAGACGTCGTGTATTTTGGTGCCGTGTCAAGCCGGGTGGCGGCTCCAATGGCAATGCCGATGGCTGATGCGTCACTGGTTGGGTAGTAGTCTAAGTTCTGAGCCTCGAGGCTGAGCGGGTCTAAGTGTGACTAGTCACGCTGGGGTGCTTACGCGGTCTAAGATCAGCGAGAGCCTCTTACATCGGCTAAGTCGGCCGTGGCACAGCCTGGGGCCAAGAGGCTCCCACCGTGATCAACGATACGGCGCTAGCCCCCAAATTTTCTTCGCCTGCGGCGGGCGCCTTCTAATCCGGATCGATCCTTCTCATGCTCAGCAATCGCCGCCTCAGCATCCTCCTCTTCCGATTCTCGTTGCTCTTCTTGAGCGCAATCTTCAAGCCAAACAGTTCTCACAAATAGCCTCAAGCTCAAACAAACGCATGTCAAGGAAGCCTGTGTATGCTGGTCCTCTTTGAACGATCCGCGCGTGAGGTAGATCTAGCATAGGGCCTTGTTGGCAGCAGCCAGCTTGTTGCGCTGCTTCGTTGCGATGAGCTGATTGGGATCGCAGAAGTGCATGCCAAGCACCGCCACGATCTTGAAGCAGAACACATCGCAACCGCATCGTCCGCACTGCCATCGGCATGCCGCGCCCGCCGCTTCGCCGCAGCCGCCTTAAGACACGCATAGCGGCAGCACATGGTACGGTGCGCGTACTTGAGCAGGAGTTGCGCGCCGCAAGTAGCGCACTGGCCCTGGGACAAGGCGATATGGCGTCGTGCGCGGCATACGTTGGTCGGGACGCGTCCAGGTATTTTTCGGGTAAACCTGGACTTTTGCAGGTATACCCGGGTTTTACCCGGATTTGGCCTTGTGCCGTCTAAGTTCATGGCCCCCGACCATACAGCGTCTAAGTCCGAGCCCGGCTCCGTGCGGGGGCTAAGTTGAGCGCTCGCTCGCTGCAGAGGCTAAGTGTAGAGCGACCCTCTAGCCCTACTACCCAACCATTGATGCGTCACGCACGATACGCCTCGCCGTTTACGCGTTACAGACAGAAAGCCCGACCGGTGCTTTCAAATGTGCTGCGTATTATGCGCATGTCTTCTGCACCGATCGTTACCACCGACCTTCTGGCCGCTACGCACCACGCACCCGTCAGCGCCTCCGTCCGGGCTGTGGCGCCAGGAAGGAAGGGATACGTGTGTATGCGGATACATGATACGTCATGCGTGTGTAGCTCTTTTACGTTTTTGAAGAAAAATATGCGCTGTGAGCAGGTCCGGGGTGAGGGCCGGCCTTCATATCTGCTGTATGTATTTTTATAACTGCGCCTGTCTACGCACCAGGTTACGCACACGAAACCAGTATAAGGACGACGGGAAAGATTGATTCTCGCCCCTGTAACTATTGATATTGATTATTGACAGCATCCCCTCTAACTATTGACAACATATTGAGGTATTGATCACTGATTTTCACCTCCAAAAGCGACATTTGTCCCAAAGGTCGCCTAGATGGTGGCTGAAATCAAATTATTCGCGGATTCCGAGCGATTTTGAAGCGATCCAAGCGAATTTGAAGCGATTTGGGTCCATTTTGAGCAATTTTAGGGCATCTGCAAGCCCGGGATGGACATAAATAAATAAATAAACAAAGTGCATAAATAAATAAACAGAAAATCCAAAATCCAAATCGCAAACATAGAAACCCAAACACACACACACACCACACAGCCACGTGGCATAGGAGAGCAGAAGGTGAAAGGAGGTCAGCACAAGTTGCAAGGACGCACGAGCGAGAAGCACAGCAGAGCAGACAGATGACGATTACCACCCAGCGCACGACCGCCAACTCTCCGGCGCAGGCCGCGAAAATGTCGAGTCCGGGGGCCGACGGTCGAAGGGACGCGGCGCGCCGGCGCGGCGCAGTGGACGCAGCCCGGTTCGCAGCTTCGCGAGCTACGGGGGCGGCCACGGCACGGCCTGGTGGCCGCCCCCGCAATGAGGCCAAGCGGTGGGCATCCGGCAAAAGCCGCAAGACGGGATTCGCGAAGGCGCGGGCCACCTTCCGCGGCGGAGGCCGCGGAAGCGCGGCGGCTGCGGAGAGGCACGACAGCATGAAATAAAAACGGACACCTCTACTATACAGTAGAGAGGAGATGGGTGAAAAGGAACACGAGGTCCCCGGACCCCGCCCTTGCGATCTTTGTGCAGGGTTCTTTGTTACGTCAAGGTCGTCAGAAGTCTCGAATGTTTCTCCTCTTCTACAACTATCTGGTATCTCCTATCTGCAATCTCTCTGGGTCAGCATGGAGCAAGTGCGAAGTGGGTCAGCGGGACACATAGTCATGGAGACGCATTCATCCCATGACGAAAACGAAACACGTATATAAGGGTCGAGCAGGTTTCGAACTGGCGACCTTCCGCTTGCGGAAAGGTATCCAGCATGAAATCGCTGCAAGTGAGAGAGAGGTCGCCATTCGAACCCTATATAGCATACCGAGTTTTAGCACCACAGATACGCACACACCGACGCCCGAAGTGCCAAGAAGGACGTCATTAGTACGAAACCTCAGAAGCCCATGGGCGCCGAGAGAACATTCCCTCGAGAGCAAAAAAAAGAGCACAACCAAACCTCCTTCCCAGGTTACCCCTGCCAAATGCCGCCGCTCTCGGGGCATGCTATCCTGTGTAAGGCTAGTTCCATTTCACTCTGACACGCTAATCTTGAAAACGTCCAACGGAGCTCCGTGTTGCTCCCAGCGCCCTCCCCCGCGCTTCCTGCGACCCTAGCCGATGGTACTAGCATGGGAGGTCATCTGGCTACCGCGAGAGCGACCCAACTCGTCGACATCGTCCGATGATGGTGCCGCAAAGTCAGCCTTCGGAGGCTATCGTGGGGTCGAGCCGTCAGTAGCCGTGACATGTGGTTCCACCACCCCTCGTAGGCTTTGCCTCTGACCATCACCGTTCCCAGGCTGCCTAATGGGATGGAAAGGAAGGCTGGGCGAGCGTATAGAAGCGTGCTCGACCTCGTCGTGGCAACCTGTACGGCAGCGCTGGCAGGCGCGATGAGCGTCGTGCCACCTGACCCGAGACGGGTCGCAGGCGTCGTACCGAGCGCGTCGAGACCGTGTCCTGATGTGATCTGTACGGGCGAGTCACGTCGGCGTCAAAGGAGCGACGTGTGACCTGTCAGAGCTTGATCTCCGATCTCAGCGGCGTCGAGTCGTCTCCGGTGCGCAACAAATGTACCTCCCCAGGACGCGCAGAGGCAGCTGCGACCCCGGCGAGTGGACGGGCGCACACCGCGCCTCCTGCTGTGTGCGCCCGTCTACTCGGCGGGGTCGCAGCTGCCTCTGGAAGGCACCGAGAGGTACAATAGTGCGCAAATGGTCAAAATCAAGGTTTTGTAACGCGAGCTGTGCCACAGTGAAATGGAACTAGCCTAAGCAGGGCAGGTGGGGGAGGGGGGCACTCCCACGGACGTATGTATCCGTGGTGACTGTCTCTAGCGTCGGAGGCAAGGGCGAAGCTAAGAATATTTAATTGGAGACGCATATCATGCCATCACGGTTCCACGCGCGGATCAGCCGTCCCGGCGACGCGAGCACAGCGGAGTGGCCAGTTTGGGTAAATAAAAACGGACCCTCTACTGGTGCGCTTCTTAGCTCCCCGGCCCTGGATGTGAGGCTGATAACTGCACTCCAAGTGCTCCAAGTGCTCTACTGTGAGGTGGGTAAAAAGGAACAGGTCCCCGCCCTTGCGATCTTTGTGCAGGGTTCTTTGTGGGTGTGGTCGGTGACGGTGTTCTCGGGCCCAAGCCACAAGAGCTGCTTCCTCGGGAGGAGCCACGAGGCGAGCGGCAACGAGCCAGCCTCCTCGTTGCCGCGCCCCCGCAGGGGCGGCGCCGCCGACGCGTCGCCGTCTCCAAACGAAGAGCCGGCGCCGCCGCCCGTGCGCGCCCACGACCGCGCCTCCGTCTCGTCGGCGGCGGCCGTGGCGGCGGCGGCGGCCGGCGGCGCCAGGTCGGCGAGCAGCGATGGGGAGCGGAACGCCTCGAGCGGGAAGTACTCGAGGTAGCGAGAGAGCCCGCTCTCGCCGGCGGAGGCGATGGCGCGCAGCGCGTCGCGAAACTTCATCGTCTCGTGCGCCGGCCGCGCGATCACCCACTCTCCGCTCGCCCCGCCGCCGCCGCCGCTGCTCGTGCCGGTCCACCGCTCGATGGGCTCAGGCTCGTCGAAGGTGCCTAAGTACTGGATCCTCTGGCTCAATCGCCGAACGACACGGGCCGCTAAAGGCTCTCGTCAAGAGTCGCCCTCTGTGACCGAGAGCGCCACTCTGCGCTCGCCGAGTGCGGCCGCGAGGTACTCGTCGGTCCACTTGCGCGTTGCCGGCCAGCCGTCCAGGAGGCCGGTGAGCACTGCCGGCTGCGAGTCGCGGACCAGCGCGAGCAGCTGCGAGGCGTTCGGGCGGTGAAGCCGCGCGCAGCTCGTGGCGTCGGGACGCGCCTCGCTCGGGACGGTGTGCTGGTCGTACAGGTGAGCGTATGGTGCGCGACTCATGTCCAGCAGCGCGTGGTGCTCCGCCCACGTGCAGCCGAGTGAGCGCGCGCTGCAAAAGCGGGTCACCGCGAGTGCGTGCCGGATTGCGGCGTTGGAGAGTTCGGCCGGGCTCACGGAGTTCGCGGTCGACCAGCTGCGCCACTCTTCGGAGAGCGCGGCGGGAGGCTCCCGGAACTTTGAAAAGGTGGGCACCGCAGGGGAGGAGAGGAGCGGTGCCACCTGCATATGGACGAACGGATCGGACAGAGGTGAGCGGTCAGCGTCAGCGGTGACGTCGACCCCGATTTTTTCTCGGTTAGACGCTGTTCATTCACAAAATTTCCGGTGTCCGCGTCCCCGCGAGCTGCGAGTTCACCTATGAATCCTTCTAACGCCGCCCTGCTGTGACCGGCGAGCGGCGTCCCCAGATGCAATCGAGCAGCTTCGTAGCAAGCCCGATATCCAAGCTCGAGGGCCTCATACTTCATACTAGGCAGGCTTGGCCCCTCTTTGTGGAGCGACTTTGACTTTGTGCGCCGCGCACGCCGCTTCCTACAGGGAGGCATACACTCGATCTCTCTCTCTCTCTCTCTACACACACACAGCAAACACAAAACAGTTAGAGTTGTTTGGTATTGCTAAAAATCTCTCTCTCACACACACAGCCACGCGTCCGCTAACAGGGAGGCATACACAGCCGCGTCGTCCTTTGCCCCGTCCTCTCCTGCAAAGGGAGGCAAACTAGGCACAGTGTCCTGTACCGTGTTTGTTATGACCCCCCCCATGAACACACCAGCAAGGGAGAGGGCGAGACGATCGAGGGGTCCCGTGTCCCGTTCTCGCAATTCAATCTCGGTGCGGTTTGTCGTGGACAGCCAGGCCCTGTGTTCTGCTCTCAACGACTCGGCATGTCGTCTCCAGAACACGCGTCGAAAGCGATGGAGACGACGGTGGAGAGTGCTGCGGCATCTCGCCAATTCAATCGCAGAATTGCAAAGTTGGCGATGGATAACGTCAAGTCCGTCTCTTTCGTGGACCGCGTCGGCTCTCGCTTCAACGTGCTGTACAGCTTGCTCCTCTTCCGAGCGCTGCACCTGCTCCTCACGATTGTGGCCTGGCAGCATTTCTTTCAGAACAAGTACTACGTGCAGCTCGCGAACGTGCCCGAGGGCGCCCCGAACTACTGGCTTAAACGGTTGATGCCACCCTTTGAGTTTGGCCTGGTGAGTTGCAGCTTCTCCTGACGGGATATATTCGTGTACAGACAGGCGAAGCAGCTGACACTGACACTGTATACCATGAACCCGCGCTTCAGATGCATGCCATCCTCTTCCAGCTGGCACTCCTCCCGTTGACGATGGCCAAGCGGCTCCTCGCCCTCTTGTCCACCGAGGTCCTGGGCTCGACCTTTCCCTTTCAGCATATCATGCAGTTCCACATCCAGGTCGGCTACGCCTTCTGCATCCTCCTCATCGGCGCCACCATGTGAGTGGAAAACCGATTAAACTGCGCCCCAATCTGCAGCTGATCCCCCCCCGCCCCCCCCCAGCGGCTTCTTCGGCTTCTTCGGAAAGATTTGCTACGACTTTCGTCACGGGCTCGACCCGGCCGACTTTTGCTCCAAGCTCCGCTCTGAGATATTCGTGACCGGGCTAGTCACTGCCGTCTCAACGGCCATCGTGCTGATCACATCGTTCATCCGCGGCCGCGTGCCGTATGAGCTCTTCAAGATCGCGCACGGATTCGTCTTCGTCATGTGAGCAAACCGAGAGCGCTCGGTTGAGATGGCAATACCCACCCCCTCCCACTCCCGCCAGGTTCCTCGTCGCAGCAGTGCACACCTTCGACAAGCCGGTCCGCGAAGGCACTCTCCGGAGGTCGCAGACGCTCTCGTGGTTTGGCGCGTCCATGACGCTCTACCTCACAGACCGGGCCTGGTGCTTCTTCACCACACACCGGTGCCGCGTGCTCGAGGCTGTCTCGACCGGAAAGGTCCTCCTCCTCCGTGTTGAGCGGCCCGCCGCGTTCCGGTTCTGCGCTGGGCAGTACGCACAGATTTGCGTGCCGGGCATCGACCCCTTCTGGCACCCCTTCTCCATCGGGTCGGGCAACGAGGCCAACTACCTCTGCTTCCTGATCGAGGTGAAGCCCGGCCAGTCGTGGACAGGCCGGCTCGCGTCAGACGCCTGCATCGCCAAGCTGCTGAGCGGCGAGGCCGCGCTGCAGGTCCTAGACACTTCCGAGACACGTCCGAGACACTTCGAGACACTTCCGAGACACTTCCAAGACACTTCCCAGCTGCTGAGGGGCGAGGCCGCGCTGCAGGTCCTAGACACTTCCGAGATACTTCCGAGACATTTCGAGACACTTCCGAGACACTTCGAGACACTTCCGAGACACTTCCCAGCTGCTGAGCGGCGAGGCCGCGCTGCAGGTCCGTGGGCCTTACGGCTACGCGGTGGCCGATCTTGCGCGGGCCGACGCAGTGCTCGGCGTCGGCACGGGCACCGGCGTCGTGCCGATGCTGTCCCTGATGCAGGAGCGCGCCCGCGCCATGTCTCTCGTGGGCAAGGCGGCCCTTGCAAAGGCGAAGCTCGACCGCATGGCGGCCACGACGATTGCCGAAGTCGATGTGCCGGCTCCTCGGCAGGCGCGCTTCTCCGGGGCGGACGATGCACGGGCAGCAGCGGCCACAAAGATCCAGCACGCTGTCCGACGCGCCAACCTTGCGGACGAGTCGGCCTTCATGCGCGCGCTCTTTCGCCGAGGGACGCACACGAGCTTGCATGCCGTCTTCGACATCGTCTCCTGGCTGCTCATCCTGGGCGAGGTGACGTCGCTGGGCCTGGCCTTCTCGTGGTCGACTCTCTCGGAGGCGGCGAGGGCGGAGTGGCAGGGCAGGGCCCTCGAGGTCGCCGCCGCCGTGCTGCTCGCGGGCTACTCGCTCCACTTCGTCTACCGCTACGCGTTCCCCACACGCTTCCTCCGCTCGCTCTGGGCATGGCTGGACGGACTCTTCACGATGGGGTCCATTGCGTTGCTCGCGGTGCGGTGGCCTTAGAAGCTGAATGAATAACGCGTTCTTGTATTCCAACCAGCGCTCGAGAGGACACACGGATTCGACTGTCTTCCGCTGACTCCCGCTGTATCCCCTGTACTCGTATCCCTCGTATTCACGCGGTGCTCTGAATACACTGCACAATACCGTCTTCCCGCCCTGATGTTGGTGCATTCATCACGCAGGTGTGGTGGTCCGAAAGCACCGGCAACTTCGGCTCGCCGACGGCGCTCCAGCTTCTGCTCCGCACGCTCCTCGCTGCTTGGCGCGTGTGGCGCCTGCTGCAGGCCTCCCCGCTCCTCCGCGCCTCGTGGCATCGGCAGGCGCGCTCGCCAAACTCGCTCGGCGCGGAGCAGTACAAGATGATTTGGGTCTGCCGAGATGCTGGGCTAGCGGCCGGCTACATCCCGCGGGTCAACCGGCTGGTGGACGAGCTGCACCGTAGCCTGTACGGCAAGCCGGCTACCGCCTCCGAGTGGAAAGACCGGCTTGGCCACTTCATCGACTTCACAATCTACGTCACTGACACCGACGACGACAGCGTGGCACGCCTCAAACGCACCGCGTCGGCAACGAGCCCGCACCTGTTTGGAGCTCTGTTCGGACCGTGGTACGCATCCTATCTGCATCGCGTGTTAGGGGACGCTGGCGGAAGGCAGCATCGTCTACGAGCGGCCGGACCTCTTCGATGTGATCCTCAAGGAGAAGCAGCGGCAAATCGTCAACTACGGTCTCGGGGCGAAGGGGTCGCCCGCCTTCACGTACAACGTCACCGTCTGCGGCTCACAGGATATAATTAACTAATTTAACCAGTAAAAAAAATATTATTAAGTTTTAGTAATGAGTTAGTTGATTAATTAACGTCTGCGACTCACAGGCCGTGGGCCGCATCTGCCAAGAGGCCGCATTCGCGAGCAACCAGCTGGCGACGCTGCTGAGCTGCCCGCAGTTCGTGACAACTTTCCGAGAGGAGTACTACGGCTTCGCCCCGCCCGTCGTGCGGAAGTCGGGCGTAGCCGCCGTCACTCCGTCCAGCCTGGACGCCTCCCCCACCTCCCGCGCCCGCTCCCGCGCCGAGCAATCGAAGAATTTGGCAAGGCTGAAGGCGGCCTGGGGCGGATCACATACAGCGGAACCGCAACCGCGAACCTAGAGCCGCTAGAGCCGTTCTCGCTAGCACAGTCGCCGACATGCGCCATGCAGCAACTCAGCGGTGCCAGCCCAGGGGACGATACCGATGGAGGACCTCGCCGGTGCGGTGGCCCGCGGGGCGGCCGGCGCGGCGGCCACCGGAGCCGCCCGCGGCGGGGACGGCGGGGCGCGGCGCCTGCTGGTGCGGGTGCGGCGACCGGCGCGGGTGCCGCGCCCGCCTTCCGCCAGGCGATTGCCAACTTCGCCGCCGCGCTCTAGAATAGCACCGGCCGGTGCTGGCGTGGAAGACGGCGGGGCCAATCCGCGCGTATCTCTGTGTCTCTCTTTTTTTATCGTAAAATAGTATACGTGGCTGGGTTCACACCATCACAGCGATTGTAGGAAAATGACGAAAACACTTGACGGTCGCGGCCTTCCGACTCGCGCCTTCGCCTCACTGGCACTATTGTAGCCCTGGCCGGTGCGCGTGCTCAGTTGAAGTTCCGGAGTAAAAATTCGAACGCGTTCTCTCACGGTGACCAAGAAATGTCCACCTCAGAGGCACCTCCGGAGGCAGGCCGCCGCACGCCGGCGACACAGCTCCAGCTGTCGAGCTGACCCGCAGCTCCTCTCAGAGCGGGAACTGTGACGAAAGTTGACTGAGGCGGTTGTCAGGAATCATCATACGGATCACATGGTGGCTCTCTCATGACGGGAGACCGCCCGACCACTCCTGGGTGGCACTGCCACCGGTGTCGCCCGACGTCCTGTCGACAGCGTGCCGACAGCGACACAACCATGTGGGACGCGTCGAGTATCGACCTCTACTGCTTACCCAGCCTTCGGGTGTATCCTGGCTGTGGTCCCACACCCACTGGTGTCCATCTCAGAGATCGCAGGAGGTCATGAGGGTCGATGGGAGTGCCAACCCCACAATGCCTAAAAACCCAGCCCAGTATGCAGTTTACATTACATTAGCCGGGGTCGTCCTCCCAATGGGGGACTAGCACTAGCCGTCTTCCACATGGTCCCTCAGGTCCCTGCTGCTCCTAATCTCTTCGTTCGTACATCCTCCTGCTGATCTCCGCAAAGTCCTGCTCCCTCCCTCGTCTCGCCCTGCGCGTCTGCTCCGCCTCCACATCGAGATACATCGTCCGCCCTGCGTCGTCTGGCGACGGGTCCTCCATAGTCGGTCGAGGTCGCCGCCCTCCTCGTGCCTCTTCCCAACGTTCCCTCGGATAACACCCCAGCAAGCGCGGACGGCATTCGCGAGATACTGCAAAAAGATAGACGTGACGAAGGAGGAGCTAGGGTGGAACTTTGGATGCATATCGGCAAGCCAAAATAACGAGCAGGAGGCTGTCCTGGTGCGTGAGCTAATCCTGAGCAACAATAAGCGACTGTACCACGGAGCACAGAGCGCAGCAGACAGGACGGCGGCGACGGCGGACATGGCAGAGACGAGTGTGAAACAAAGGGCGGCGGGCATGGAGGGCGGTAGCGACGGGGATGGAGACGGTGACGGTGGCGAGGGAGAGGAAGGGGGTCCATTAACACCAGACAGCGAGAGGGGCAGGGAGGAAAGGGGGAGAGAGGAAGCCAACGCGACGTGCGCAGAGGATGAGGATATAAACTGGGACGACGCAGCGGAGGGGATAGGCGAGGGAATCGAGGGACCGGAGGGCTTTCGCGACAGCGACGATGACGACGAAGAAAGGGGAGGGGACGGAGGGGCGACACGCAGGAGGAGCGAAATCGCTAACGGCCCGAGCAGAGAGGGCGACGGCGGGGCACGAGGGAACAACGGAGACGCTACCGATGACGCGAACCGAGGCACGGACGCCGGCGGGGACGGGGAGGGCGACAGCGACGTCGAGGTTGACGCAACCGTATCGAGAGCGCCACCCAAAAAGGGGCGGACAGCCATGGAGGTCACCGAATGGAAGGCGAACGGCACGATGCGAAAAGGCAGGGCGAGGCGGATGGAGAAAGAAGTGCCGAGAAGGCCATGGTGGAGGGGAGGGACGGGAGGACGAAAGAAGGGCGAGGAGGACGAGCGGCCCGCACAGACCGCGAGCAGACAGCGCCTGCTGGCCATTTCGAGACATTCGCCAAGAACGCTAGCTACATGGGAGGGCTTCGTGAAGGATGGATTGAAAAACATTCGAACAAAGAAGAGGCGACGGGAGGAACCGGCGGAGGATGCAGTGACGTGAGACACACACACACACACACACACACACACACACACACACACACACACACACACACACACACACACACACACACACACACACACACACACACACACACACACACACACACACACACACACACACACACACCGCTCACCCACGCGCACTGGGCCTTGCACTTTGAATGCCGTGGGGCTCCTGTCGTCAGACGTGGAGACGCGAGGGTTGCCCCCCCTTGCCCCACCACCTCGTGTGTGTGGAGAAGTTTACCTTACCTTACCTTACGGCCGATGCCGTCTGCTCCGGCTCCGCCGTCCCCGGGTCTGCCCTGCTCTCGTCCGCGCTAGCTTCTGTCTCGTCATCACTGGTGTTTCTCCTCTTCTTTCTCCTCTTCTTGTATGCTTTGTAGTTTGTACATCGCGTCGATTCCTTTTCGCGTGAAAGCACCACCCTGAAGCCCGCCCAGCAGCTGGGATGGACATACCATCGCTGAATATATCAATATATTGAGCCCCCCTTAGCCAATCCAGGCCCTGGTCCCTCTAACTATTGACATATATATTGATATTGATCGCACCTCTAACTATTGGAGCAATATATTCAATAAAAACAATATTTCCCGTGGTCCTTTAAAACCAGAGCATAACCATAATGCGGTGCGTATTCATTTTGTGGGTTGGGCATATCCATAGCGGGACTGATCACGAGTGAGGTTCGTACACTAGAGTGGAGTCCGTACACGGGTCGGCTCTTTACGTTACACGTTACATGAGGGGTTGTCGGTTGAGGAAGTTCGCTCGCCGCCCTCCTCATGGCAACGCCGTCGGGTCGAGCTGCCCCCACTCCTCCCACTCGGTGAAGAGCCGCTCGTCGAGCGCGTCGAGCGCCGCCATCTCCTGCGCCGAGAGCTCGAAGCCGAAGACGTCCACATTCTGCGCCACCCGCTCGGATCTGACCGACTTTGGGAGCGGCACGTACCCGTGCTGCACGGACCAGCGCACCAGAACCTGTTGACAGGAGCACGTGAGGAGGTGGCGGGCGGTGCTTGCCCGTCTCGCCCACGAGCGCCTGCGCAGTAGAGACGCCGTGCCGCGCGGCCGCCGCTTCCAGCGAGGGGTGGTCGAGGCGGAGCGCGCGCGCGAGCGGGGAGTAGGCGATCAGGCGGATGCCACGCGCCGCGCAGAAGGCCTCGATCTCGTCCTTTCGCAAAAAGGGGTGCAGCTCAACCTACGTGGTCGAGCTGCGCCTCTCTCGGTGAGCCGCCGCCCTCGCCTGTCGCCCGCCGGCGAGCGGGCCTCGTTGGCGGCCGGCACCACGCTCGTGCGCGGCGAATCGATCAGCTGCTGCAGGTGGGCGACGCCAAAGTTGCTCACCCCGATGCTCCGCGCGAGTCCGAGCCGCTGCGCCTCCTCGAGTGCGAGCCAGTACTCGATCCGCTGATCCGGGTTGACCGGCCAGTGAATCAGGTAGAGGTCGGCGCGCGTGCCCAGCGCGGCAACGCTCGCGTTGACTGCGTCGAGCACGGCCGCGAACCCGTCCTCGACCCAGCGGCCCTCCGCCTCGGGCCACACCTTTGAGGTGATGTGGATCTGCTCGCGAGGTATGCCCGACTCGCGCACGGCGCGCCCAACGTCCGCCTCATTCTCGTAGAAGCCGGCCGTGTCGAGGTGGCGGTAGCCCAGCCGGAGCGCCTCACGCACGATATCCTGAGCCACGGCGCCAGGCGGCGTATAATAAAGGCCGAGGCCTACCGCAGGAAGCATGTTGCCGTCGCCGAGGGAGACACGTGGCATATCTGCGGCGGAGCAGTGCTCCGGCTCTGCCAGCGCAGCTCCGAGCAAGAGGGCCGACAGGAGCGCGGTGACCGGCGTCGGAACCATTATCGGTAATGCTCGGCTTTCAGCCATCTGTAGGGATCAACTCCGGCCAGCTGCGACGGGATGATGTGGGAGAAAGCGCCAAGCCAGTGTTGTTGTTGTCGAGGCAACACCGTCGAGCCAGAGGCGACACGGTCGAGGACATCGAGAAAAAAATACGGTGCGGAAAACCTATTCGTAAGAGCGACATACGCACACTTAGCCGCGAAAAATGCTCGCCTCCTCCCGCTACGAGCTGCGGCTCGCCGCTCTTCCGCCCGATGCCCTGATCGCGATCGCCGCCGGCGCGATGCGGGACAGCCCCGCTGCAAACAGGAGGGCCGAGGCGCTCCTCGCCCACCACAGCCCTCCGCCCGCCGTCGCGACCGACGTCCTCGCAGACCCGGACCTTGCGCCGTGCGTGCTCGAGAAGACGGGCCTGCGCCACGCGGCCGTGTGCAAGCGGTGGTCCCTGATCTGCGCGCCGCGCGGTGCCTTCGCGCGGCTGGTGGAGACCGCTGGCGATGCCTCCTCGGAGCTGCAAGCCGCTGCGCTCGGAGAGCTCAAGCGGCTGTCGGGAGAGGAGGCCAGCAGCAGGCGGATGGACGCGCTCGTCGCCCTCTTACGGGTTGGAGACGAGGACGAGAAGGTGGACGTCGCGGAAACGCTCCAGGAGCTTGCCCGGGACGACGATGAGAGCAGGGTGGCGATTGCTGCGGCCGGCGGGATCGAGGTGCTCGTGTCGCTGGCTCGCGACGGGAATGAGGCGCAGAAGGAGCGTGCGGCAGGAGCGCTGAGGAACCTCGCTGACAACGACGACAACGAGGCGGCGATTGTTGCGGCTGGCGGCATCGAGGTGCTCGTGTCGCTGGCTCGCGACGGGAATGAGGCGCAGAAGGAGAATGCGGCGGGAGCGCTGGCGAACCTCGCTCTGAACGACGACAGCAGCGTGGCGATTGTTGCGGCCGGCGGGATCGAGGTGCTCGTGTCGCTGGCTCGCGATGGGAACGAGGGGCAGAAGGATTGTGCGGCAGGAGCGCTGTGGTGCCTCGCTGACAACGACGACAACAAGGCGGCGATTGTTGCGGCCGGCGGCATCGAGGTCCTTATCGCCCTGGCACGCGACGGGAATGAGGCGCAGAAGGAGCGTGCGGCGGGGGCGCTGTGGAACCTCTCTGACAACGACGAGAACAGCGTGGCGATCGCAGCGGCCGGCGGGATCGAGGTCCTTATTTCGCTGGCTCGCGATGGGAACGAGGGGCAGAAGGAGAATGCCGCGTGTGCGCTCAGCAACATGATTGAGGTAACACCCGCCACGCACGAGGGTGTCGTCGAGGCTGGCGGTGCGGCGGTCCTCTCCTCTCTCACGCAGGAGGCAAGCGCCTCGGACGACTGCAAACTCGTTGCTGCCATTGCGCTTGTGCACTTGGCTTGCACCCGCGCCGACCTCGCGGCTGACGACACTTGCCTCTCGCTGCTGCTCTCGCGGCTGGACCAGCCCGAGGATGATGGCTGGCGCAGAGACAGCATCAACGCCCTCCTCGCCCTCGCAACCTCCTCGTCTGCGTGCGCTGAGCAGTGCCAGTGGCACCGGGTCGGCGGCGTTGCGGCGCTGCAGGCGCTCGCTCGAGAGACGGCGGAGGGGGGGGTGGAGAGGCAGGCGGAGAGGTGTGACGAGGCGCTAGTCAGCCTCGGCGGGAGGAGGGTGCGCAGGCGGACGGCCGCGTGAGCCCCAACGGAGCCGCATGAGCTGTCTTTTGAGAGATCCAGTGGAGTCTTTCGTTGTTTAGAAAGAAAGAGGAAAGTCCCCCCTTCTCTCCAATTTCAACTAGATGTTTCGTTTCCTCGCAGGAGTCGCGTGTTAGTGCCAGTGCGCGCCCACTCCCTTTGGCTTTGCTGCCACTCATAAAATCGATACATCGTTGGGTCGCTTCAGTTCACGAAGTCCTCCCGTGCGCCGTGGGCCGACCCTCCGATTTTATGAGAAGAGAACAAAGGGAGTGGTGCGCGCCAGTGCCTTGCCTTTGTTCTCGTTTCTCGGAGTTTCTTTTTAGAAATTGTGTTCAAGCAGTCTTCTTTTTTGGCGTGCCAGCGGCAGTGGCGAGACAGTGGCGGTGGAGCGGTGGAGCGGCACGACCTGGCGAGAGGAAGAGGCTGTGCAAGTCGGCTACCGACAACGTGCGACGCCGACAACGACGATGAGGGCGCTACTGCGCGTCGGTTGCGGCGGGAGTGCGAGAGGCCGCCACCTGTGCACAAGCAGCGGCGCAGCGCTGGCGCACGCCCGCCTCCGGGAGCAGCTCGCATCGGTCAAGCAGCAGCTGCGCAGCCTTGAGACTGCGCACCCGGAACTGCGCGAGAGCCGAGATGGCCTCGAGGACGAGCTTAAAACGCTCGTCGCGGCAAATCCCGATTTGCGCTCGGAGCGTCACGCGAGCGATGCCTTCGCACCGCCCAAGCTGCACCACATCAACGTCGTGAGTCGCGAGGTGACAGGCCTGCTCGAGTTCTACAGGGATGTGCTGCGCATGGATGAGATGCCGATCGAGATGTTTCCGCGGACAGGCATGACTGCCGCGGGCGCCGGCTCGGACGTGCCCATCAGCTTCACGACGGACGGCCACATGCAGATGCACCTCGCTACGCGAGACCTCGGCGTCGCCTTCCGCAGCGGTGAGGCCATCAACCCGATCGGCGTCGGCCCGATAGGCCACATCGCCTTCCGCACCGATGACATCGACGCCTTCAAGCGCCACCTCGACGCGCACGGCGTCCAGTACGCCGACTACGGCACGCGGTTCGCTCGCGACTGGCACCAGATCTTTTTTCTCGATCCGGAGGGCGTGATCATAGAGGTCCACGCCGTGCTCAGGTGAAGAGGAATATCGGACGAGCTTGTTTGCGACCCACACCCGACACCTTGCACATGAAGCATGGCTGCATGGTCTGGCCGCGCACTGCGCGAGTCCTAGCGTGCGTCTGGCTGCGTATAAAGCCGTACTGAGGGACTCGTCGTACGTGTCAAATGCTCACCCACGGCACAAACGCGAAACGGGGCACGAACGCCAGGCTACAAACCTGACCGCACTACATCAAGACTGCGATAGAAGCGCCCCCTCGCGCCGTCGCCATTGGCGCCACCGCCTCCCACACATTCTCGGCCGGGTCGTACCGCTCGACCGTGCCGAAGTCGCCGTCGCCGTCGTTGAAGCCTCCCACAGCGTACAACCTGCCATCCAGCACCGCCACGACGTGACTGTACCGCGTCGTCGCCATCGGCGCCACTGCCTCCCATGCATCCAACGTAGGGTCGTACCGCTCCACCGAGCTGAGGCGATTGTAAGTGGCATCCCACCCGCCCACAGCGTACAGCTTGCCGTCGAGCACCGAAACTGCGAGCTCGTCCCGCGACTCCGCCATCGGCGCCACCTCCTCCCACGCGTTCGCCGCCGGATCGTACCGTTCGACCGAGCTGAGGCGGCCACCATCGAATCCGCCCACAGCGTACAGCTTGCCGTCGAGCATCGCCACGCCATGGTCACTCCGCGCCGTCCCCATCGGCGCCACCGCCTCCCACGCATTCGTCGCGGGATCGTACCGCTCTACCGAGCTGAGGTTTTCGTCGTCGATGCAGCCTCCCACCGCGTACAGCTTGCCGTCGAGCACCGCCACGGCGTGATTTTGCCGAGCCGTCGCCATCGGCGCCACCGCGTCCCACGCATTGGCAGCCGGATGTACCGCTCGACCGAGCTGAGGCAGCCTTCGTCGTTATTCTCGCCGCCCACAGCGTACGGCTTACCGTCGAGCACCGCCGTGCGGAAATAGTTTCGTGCCGTCGGCATCGGGGCCACAGCCTCCTCCCCCGACTGATTGGTGGGGACGGGTCGTACCGCTCCAGCGAGTTGACAAACTCGCCCTCGCCGTCGTAGCCGCAGAACACGACCAGGCGCGGCCTCTCGCGCTTCTTCAGCGTCTCTATCCAGCCGCGGCGCCACGCGCGGCACGTCCCCTTGGCGGCGTGCTCCTTGGTCGGAAGCTGGGCGAGGATGTGCGGGGCGAGGTCCGGCGAGAGGAGGACCTCGGAGAGCACCCACTCGGGCTGCTCCACGAGCCGAGCGGCGTGCTCCTCCGCCACGCGCATTGCGGCGGCGCTCCAGAGAGGCGCTTGCTCGTCGATGAAGGCGACGAGCTGCTCTGGCGAGAGGCCAGACAGGCGGGCGCCGATGCGGTGGGAGGCCATTATATCAAGTACATCCTGCAGGCGAAGAAAGAAGAAAACAATCACGGCTTGTCGGAAAAATGGCGAAGAAAAAAACAAACCACCGCTTGTCCGAAGGCGCTTGTCGGAAAAATAACTCCGAGGAGTCCCCCCCCCTCATCCTTCAGGGCTCAACTAGCACGACTCGCGTCGTACCCGTTGCCGCTAGATCGCTCTAGCCTGACCCCGGAGCGGTTTCATCAGAGAGAGAGAGAGATTTTTGAAAACCAACAAGAAATCACGCCTCTCACAGTTCATCAGTCGCTGCCGACCCAAATGCTATTGAGAATTGACGGCTTGGGCTACGGCCTAAGCATAAAGCATCGAGCGACGCGCCGTCACCTTCGCCCTCCTCCGGACGTCACTGGGCAGCTCCGCCGAGCGGGCGCGAGAGCTCATGCGAGAGCTGTACGGATTCACCGCGTGCAGGCGCCCCAAGCACTTTTGTAGCAGGGGGCCGACTGCGTTGAGACGGGGCGTGAGCCCGAATAAGAGGAAGGTGATGCCGCCCTGCCCGTCGACGAGCATGAGCGAGGCGAAGAGGAGGGCGGCGCCGGAGTCCGTCGAGGCCGGGTGGGTGGTCGCCGAGAGCACAGCCGCTTGCGCGGCGAAGCGCACCATCGAGAGAATCGTGAGCATTCTCAGCCGCAGCGCCAGGCCGTCGGCACTCGCCTGCTGCACCTTGAAGGAACGATGGCGGCCGACACGCCCGCGAATCAGCTTTTGCACACGCACCGCGGCGACGCTAGATATATCCGCCGGGCTCGTCGCAAGCGCGTCGTCATCGCGGACGCAGGTGCCCCTCCCCGGCGGGGGCTTCGCTCCGTCGCTGTTCGGGAGCTCTGCAGGCGCGGGCGGCGACGGCGGCGGCGACGGCGGCGGCGATGTCGGCGGCGACGGCGGCGGCGATGTCGGCGGCGACGGCGGCGGCGTAGTAGTCGAGGAGTCGGGGTGCGGCTTCAGCTGGTGCGGCTTACGACCCGGCGCGGGCTCCTCCGCGGCGCCAGCACTGGCCGCGTCCGCCGGAGTGAAGGACAGCTCGCCGAGCCGCGTGTCCAGACTGCGGCTCAGGGCCGCGCCGAAATTGCTCACGGACTTGAGGAAGCTCGGCTTCGGGCGCGGCGACTCGTCGGCGGGCTGCTGCTGCGGCTCGTCCTCCTGCTGCTGGTATTGGCGGCCTGCCGCCCGCAGCGCAGTGGTCGCGTGGATGGCGACTGCCACCCGCCGCCTCGCAGAGGAGACGGCGCGAGCCCGCGCGAGCGACCGCGAGCTCGCGGCGGCGAGGGCGAGGGCGAAGGCGAGGTAGGCGACAGCGCACGCCGACGCGTGTCCCTCGCTGAGCACCCACTGCGGCAGCGCAGCCTCGCGCCACACCGCAGGCCACGCCGCGATCACCGGCGCCGTGGCGGCGGCTGCGACGGCAGCGGCGGCCAGCAGCTGCGCCCGGCAACTGAGGCGCGGCGCGACGGCGACCGCGACGAGGAAGGAGTCGACGGCCCACCGCAGACTCGAGATGAGGGCGAAGAGCACCTACTCGCGCATTCTTTCGAGACGGTACGGGATGCGAGTCCAGTCCGTACCGAAGTGAAGCTGGAGCCACGGCCTTCGCTTCGGCCGGTGCGGCGGCGCGGAGGCGATCCGCGCTCACGCAGAGCATCGCTGTGGACCAGCAGAGCTGCAGCGCCTGTTCCGCAGTCGGCGGCTCCATGAAGAGAGACGCTGTTCACAGCAGACTGAGCGTCGCTGTGGACCAGCAGCGCTGCAGCGCACCGCCAGCACGCCCACCCGCCGGAGCGTCGCCGTCGAGCTCGGAGCGCCGCCTTGCCTGTAGTAGCAGCAGTGAGCAACTGCACAAGAGAACCGACCGTGGCCGCTGGGCTCGCGGCGCCGCCTGGCCTGCTCCCGCCCGCCGAGCCCAAGGCTGAGGCCAAGCCCGCGGGGGCAGCTGGCCGCCACGCGCCCTGCAGCGTTCCGCCGGCGAGCACCATGGCGCAGGAGAGGAGCGAGATGCCGCTACGGAGAGAGTTCGGGGAGAAGGGTCCGGGAAGGGTCGCGGGGTCGGAGGAGCCCGGAGGGTGAGTGAGGCGAACTGCGTCGCTCGCTCGAGGTTGGTGGAGACGGCGATCGCGCTGGCGGGCGAGGAGAGCTGGTAGACGGCGGCGGACACGAGGAGGAGCGGGAAGCCTGCACCCACGGCTAGAGGTGTGAGGGAAGCGCGGGCCGCAGGCAGGCAGCGGAGGCGAGGGCGGGCGGGAAGCCGACGAGCTTGCTGAGGGAGAGGGTGGCGGCGACGAGGCCGACGGTCTGCGCGCGGGGACAGGCGGAGGTTTAGGCAAGTCACAAGAGGCAATCTCCGCCGCGTGAGAATGGTGATGCGTCCAAGCACAGGAGCAGCACGGCGACGGGGCGAGTAGCAGTGACACTGCGGTGGTAGAGCTACATCACAACAGCACGGCTGCGGGCCTTTGGCGCGAGCTCGTAGCAGGAGATATGGGGAGATATGGGGAGATATGGGGAGATATGGGGAGATATGGGCCTTTGGCGCGAGCTCGTAGCAGGAGATATGGGGAGATATGGGGAGATATGGGGAGATATGGGGAGATATGGGGAGATATGGGGAGATATGGGCCTTTGGCGCGAGCTCGTAGCAGGAGGCGATGACGAGCGCGACGTTGGAGGTGGCGAGAGTGCCGTAGAGGAAGGCAAAGTCGAGCGTCTCCTGAAGCCATCGGGGTACGGAGAGCCGGTGAGTTTGTGGGTGTGTGGCCCGACCGCGCCACTCCTCGGCGAGCGGGCGAGGAGGCGGGTCGTCGCCGTCGGCGTCGCGGCTCCGGACACGAGCGGGCCGAGGGCGAGGGCGAGCGTGCGCGTCGCCAGCGGGAAGACGGCGCACTTGAGCAGGACGGCGAGCGCCTGTGCTCACAGTCGATGGGCTGTGAAGAGACGCCGCGTTCACAGCCGGCGGCGGGCTTGGACGACGAGGGCGGGCGCCGGAGTCGCGAGCGAGCGGGCCGACAGCAGCGGCTCGGAGGAGCCAACCTTGGGAGAGGGTCCTCAGCCGGGTCCCTGGCAGGTGGCTGGAGGGGCGTGAGGCTGTGCAAGCCCAGCGGGCGGGAGGAGCCCACCGAGGCCATGCCCGCGAGCACGAGCACCGTGGCGGGGTAGGCGTCGCCTGAGCAAAGAGAGCGGAATGATCACACACGCACGCAAGGCGAAACCACTTGGCGGCGGGGCGGGTAGACGCCTGACGACCAGAGAAACGACACACACACTTGTTATTCTCTACTCGGCGGGCGGGAACCACTCTGGGTGGCGGAGGTGGAGCCGCGCCAAGCGCAGACGAGACCTCCGCCAGCGCCCTCGGCAGCGCCGTCGGCGCGTGCCCCCTCCTCGCCACGCCTGTCAGAAAGCTCCGAGAAGGTTCCGAGAATGTTCCGAGCAGGCTCCTCGCATCTCGGGTCGCGCCTCTCCTCGCGGGAGGTGGAAACCGAGGTGGAGTGGGTGGTGGAGCGGTCGAGGGCGAGGTGGAGTGGGAGGTTGGGCGTGGTGTCGCCTGCGAGGTTGGTGGCGAGGCCGGCGAGGACGGCGAGGACGAGCGGGTTGCCGGCGAGCCCGCGCAGCACGCCCCGCAGGATGGGGCCGAGCTCGGCGCGGCCTCCTCCGGCCGAGGAGCGCTGTGCACAGCCGAGCGCGAGGAGCGAGAGCAGGGCGGGGTTGACGAACAGGTTGTGCAGCGGCACGATGACGAACAGCTGGCTCACGTAGCGCGAGCCGCGGCCGTAGAGCGCGCTCATCACGGGGAGGCCGAGCCCGAGGTCGTCCGAAGAGACGGCGAGGAGAGCAAGCACGGCGCCGTTGAGGATCTCGGCCCCGGCGTTTGCGGGGCGAGGGGTGATCAGCACGCCGACGCCGACGCAGCAGGCGAGGGTCAGTGCCTTGGCGAGCATGACTGCGGCCACGATGGTCCAGTCGACGGCATCCCACTGCAGAATGGCGATGGAGGAGAAGAGCAGCGCAGGAAGCGCGAGGGTGCCGACAAAGGCGCTGATGCCGCTCTGCGCGCCGGGTGGCAGGAGGTGCCGTGCGGAGACGTAGCCGAGCAGCAGCAGAGACGTGATGCGGATGAGCGTGTACGCGAGCGCCTCGAGAGTCGCCTCCTCCTCGGCGGCGGCGGCTGAAGCCATCTGCTGCGGACGAGTGGTCGGAGAGTAGAGCTCTTCCTCTCTGCCTCGAGTCGTGGTGCGTTCAGCGCCTCAGTCAAAAAGAATTATTAATCCAGCACGACAAGGGCGCGGACTGCGCGGACTGGCACACACACCGGCTCACCACCGGAGCCGCCTAAGCGACTCCGTTAAGAACGGCAATGCACTCCGCACCATGCACAATGCCGCTCTCCCCGCACGCTAGCTCGTTCACCGTCTGCCACGCCACAGCGGTGTGGAGGACGACTGACAAACGCTGCATTTGCAGGCCGTGCCAATTCTTGGTTGTCCATGTGACCTCGTCCAGGTGCTGAGCATGCGAAAGTTAAAAAAGAAGTCGAAAAAAACCAAGTGCTCCAAACCGGCGGCCCACATGACAAGCGATCCCACGACAGCGTCTGTGGAGACTACTCGAGTACGTGATCCGTACATGAAGGGTGGAGGGGCCCACGTCCGCGGAACTTAACGGCACGGGCACGCGTGACAACCCGTTACTTGCTCTTGCTTGTTCTTGACGTTGACCCAATTGGCACTCTCGGGGGAGTTGATCAAGTTGGTACGCATCTTGGTTCTTGCGCGCCTGCTTGTTGATGGTTTCGGCGTCGCCCGCCACCGCCGCCATGGAGATCTGCTGCGTGTGGTGGACGACGACAAAGGAGGAGGCGCTCGCCGACGCCGCCCCATTACACCGTCCGGAACCGTGTTGGTGCCCACCGCTTCCTTGGCGAACACGTGGAGGAACTGCTTGGTGGGCGGCGCAATGCCACCCAAAGTTTCCAGAGAGATTGTTAAGTTTCCACGAGCACCAGCCGCGTTATGGCTTTCTTGACCCACTTCGCGTCGTAGTACTGCGTCCACTTCCAGCCTGGCGGCGCGGCTGGCTGCTGAGCAGGAGGCTGCGAGGCGAGCAGAGCGCGAGGCGGCTGAGCTAGCGGTGCGGCCCTAAGGCGCAAAAAAAAAGCTCATGCGGGACACCGACATCCTTGGCAGCCAAGTCGCGCTCGTCGGAGCTTGCCTGCACTGCTCACACAAAAGCACAACCCCGAGCCGCACTGCTCACTCGTTGAGCTCCTAAAACACCGCCCCCTGATCACTCATGCTCTCCCTGGCGACGGCCGCGACCGCTCTCCCGCTGCGGCTCTTCGAGGAGCCTCGGCCGCGCGTCGTCGGCGGCGTTGAGACCTCCTTCAACCGCTATCCGTTTGTCGTTGCGCTTCTGAAGGACGGCGAGTTCTTCTGCGGCGGCAGCCTCGTGTCGCCCAACCTGGTCCTCACTGCGGCCCACTGCATCACCGAGAGCAGCAATCCCGCAGTCTACCAGGTCTCGTCCTCGCGTCACACCCTTTCGACGCCAATGGGGCCCGACCAGCCCGAATATCTCGACCCAGAGGTGGACAATCCGGAGTGCGGCGACACCGTGGCTGTGGCTCAGCTGGTGCCGCACCCAGAGTACGACCCAGACACCGTCCAGAACGATCTCGCGCTGCTGGTCCTGAGCGACGCCGTCAAGTGCTCCGACCAGATCGCCTTTGCGACGCTGGACCACGGCGAGAACAGCGGGCCCGGCAATGAGCTGACCGTCGCCGGATGGGGCGCACTCTACGACCCGTCGTACTACCCACTGTTCGGCACCACCATCACCCCCGGCGTGCTGCACGAGGCCGAGGTCAGGACCTTTGGCTCGAGCGAGTGCAACGCCCTGCTCTGCGGCCCCATCTTTGGCTTCCTTGGGCTCTGCCCGTACCTGGACGGGCCCGAGATGTGCGCCGGCAACCTGCTCGGCGGAGTGGACGCGTGTGCGGGCGACTCGGGCGGGCCACTCTTCCGCGTCGGCGACGACGGCGTCCCCGTGCTCGTCGGAGTCACCTCCTGGGGCTTTGGCTGCGCCGAGCCGCTCACGCCCGGCGTCTACACCCGAGTCTCGCGGTACCGGGAGTGGGTCGACTCGTACAGGTGCAGCCAGAGCGAGGCGCACTGGGCAAAGAGCTGGCGGCTGAAGCCGACCGCCGGCTGCGCACCGGCGCCCCCGCCGCCGCCCTCGCCGCCGCCCTCGCCTCTGCCGCCGCCGGCCTTGATGGAGGCGGTGCTGCAGGGAGGAGAGCACATCCTCTCGTCGCTCCCGCTGGGGGGTGGTCGCTAAGGTGGGACCTGTGCGGTGGTGCGAGGGTGTGTGGTCCTGCGGAGTTTCGTTGAGTGGCTCACACACGGATTACAGTTAAGGGCTTGCCCGCCAAAAGAAAGCCAATTCTTGACTTGCACTTGGGCCCTCGGTGAACCTCGGGGAGGCCTGCGGGCGGCCTTCTCTCGAGGTCTCGCGAGATACACATTGCAGCCAAGTTATAGTTAAGGGCCTTAAGGCATCGCTCGTGCAAGAAAAAGCTTTGGCCAGAAAAAAGAGAAACGAAGAGGCTCGAGCGAAGAGGGGTGCTTTTTGTAAACGATGGGTCTTAAGCGGCACGTTTTCTTTTGAGCTTAGCCTTCGAGAGAGAGAGAGATTTTTAGCAATACCAAACAACTCTAACACTCACACGTCATTTGGGGCCTGGTGTGTTGCCTTCGATGTTAAGCAAACAAACGCAAGGCGGACATGGCATATCGCCGCTCGGGCCCACAGACATCCCGCACACCCGTCGCCCCCGCGCGCGCGCGCCCCACCCCGGCCGGGAGAAAGGGGAGTGACAGTTTGGGATGGCAACAGAACGAGTATCTTGCACTCCATGTGCAAGAACGCAGGGTAATGTAAGCCGGATGGCTCACAGGCCACCTCTTGCGCCCCGACTGATCTACCGCACTGATCACTTCCGCCCCCTTGCTCCCAGCCCATCCACCTCGCCGAGTCCGAGATATGCCAAGGCGCCACACACCCGCGCGATCTCGAGCGATCTCGGGCCGCGCCTCGCGATCTCGGGCAATCTCGCGCAATCTCGGGGCTCCACGCCACGCTCCCCCCCCGCCGCCGCGCCGCGCTATCTCGGGCGATCTCGGAGCGTCGCTCGCGCGGCGGCACACCTGCTCAAAAAAGGAACCCGGATGCACGCTCGCGTTTTCCTTTCCCCTTGCTGTGCCATTTGTAGTGCCAGTCCGAGCCAGTCTGCTGTGAGAGGGGCGAGATACTAAAATTCTTTTCGAACCTATGTAAAGAAAGAAAGAAAACACACAACCCCAGCGTTTTGAATCTTTTCCCCTAAATGCTCTCCTCTGTCGGGCTGGTTCCCAGCCTCGCGGCGTCCTCGTGCGCCGTGCTACCCGCGCCGCTCGGGCGAGCCGATCGGCCGCCGTCGCCTTCGCGCACGCGGCGCGACGCGCTGCAAATTGCGCTCCGGGCCTGGACCGTGGGCGCCGGTGCGGCCATCGCAGGCCTCGTGCACGGAGAGGCGGAGAGGCTGGCCACGGCGCCGCGACCGGACGAGCTGCGCGAGGGCGACGAGCTGTACCGGCTCAGATCGCAGAACGAGCTCGCGCCGCGCCGCGCCGCGCTCGACGCCGACTGGCGCGAGCTCCGCCGTTCGCCGCCGACGCGGGAGCAGACGCGGCAGGCGTTTGAGGAGGTCGTGCGGGTGCGCGACGCGATTCGGGAGGCGCGGGCGCTGGCGGAGGCGCAGCGCTGGGCCGAGCTCGGCGCGCTGCTCCCTGCGGACACGGTGCCCGCCCTCGAGCGCGCCGCCACCCTCCTCGCGGCGTCGGCCTCGCTCACGGCCGACCAGCGCGCGGCCATCGGGTGGCAGTGGGGCGCGTGCGGCTGGAGGCGGTGCGGCGCGCAGGCGGACGCGGCGCAGGCGCTGAGCAAGCTGCGCGCCAACCTCGGGATGGTCGTCCCGCTCGAGGCCCTCTTCTACCTCGACGTGGCGCTCCGCTCGACAGACGAGATCAGGGCGCCAGATGCGCGGAAGACACCTCCGAAGTCGCTCCCGAGAAGAGAGGCTCTCGGCTGCAGTCCGTCGCATCCACGCCCCGGGGGCGCATCTGCTAGCGGCCTCTGGTCGTCCCACCCCACTGACTTGCTCTCACACGACGTAGGATTGTGGCCCTCGGCGTCGAGTCGCGTCTGTTGCCGCCGAGCGCCGCGGGCGCGCAAGACCCCCCGCCGCACTAGGGACGGCTAGACACGCCCACTGGATCTGCTTGGAGCCCCTCTGCAGGCGCGCACGCCGACTACTTGCGGCGCGAGTCGCTCGAGCTCATCCTCCCTGCCGAGGTGGTGGATAGAGGGAGAGGCGAGGTAGCAGTGACGGGGACACCGACGCGGTAGGTATGGGTGGAGGCATGGGCGGAGAGACGGTCGGGATGGAGCGACACACAGACACGCACAGACAAGGCACTCCTCCAGCGGGTCTGACACCCGGTGCTCGACAGGACTTGGCTTCGGGCGACGCGAACCTGCCCGTGACGCGCGGCGGGGCGAGCGAGGCGGAGGAGGCGCTCGACGAGCTCGAGGCGGAGATACTCAGCCAGCTCTCGCCGGCCGGGCTGGCCGGTGGCGGGGGTGATGAGGATACGTAGCACGGGGTCACGTTAGCCGCTATTGGCGTGTGTTCGCCTGTTTCCGCGAGGCGCGATTCCACATCTTTCCTGACAGCCTGTCGACGAGAGAAAAAAGGAAGGCGAAGCAAAGGAAGGCGAAGAACGTTGAAAAAAGAAACCGCTGGTATTCTGCTTGACTTTTTTCTTTTTCTTTTGAGCTGGGTGTGCCGCCGCGCGCCGGCCGCGGCGCTCGCGCGGCGGCGGCGGGTGTGTGTGTGTGGGGGGGGGGGGTGTCGGGGGCGCGCAGGACAGAGGCTCGACGATCATCGGCTCGCCGAGCAATCGTTATCAGTACTGTTATGTATATGCACTCTGCCCCCTATGCATTCGCATCGTGATATGCATCCTTACCGATCCATAACCCTAGGGCGTGTACATTTACGTATTTGCAAAATACGTCGCTCTCTCCCACCCTCGCGCGTCGCGGCGCGTGAATGCATAACACAGATACATAATACATAGGCGAATGGATGCGCATTACGACCGAGTGTCACATAACTCCTATGAATTATGTATTATGCATTTGCATTACGCACTGGGAGTCCACATCGTGTGTTATGTATTATGTATTATGTATTATGTATTATGTATTATGCACTGCCACTGGGAGTCCACATCGTCTGTTATGTATTATGTATTACGTATTACGTATTACGCACTGGGAGTCCACATCGTATGTTATGTATTATGCATTGTGTATTATGCATTATGTATGATGTAGACAGGCGAGATGGGGCGCAGCCCCAGCGAGCTCGTTTTTAGAGCGAGCGCAGCGAGCCGATAGAATAGAAAAGGTAGGGTTAGTTTCAACCCGGTCGGTGATAAGCCCGGAAATAGCCCAGCGAGCTCCGCTGATGCCAGCGCACATACAACCCTAGCCAACTTATGGCAGCCCTAGCGGCAGCGCGAAGTTAGGGTCTGGGCCAGGGGGGGGGGGGTGTTAGGGCTACATGCTGCGGAGCGGACTCCCCCCCAGCTCTCACACACAACCCGGCGGAGGGTTGCGGCGCTTGAATACATAATACGGATACGTAATGCGTAGTACATAGCCCTCTCCGGCGGGCTTTCGGCGCTTGATACAGAATACGGATACGTAATGCGTAGTACATAGCTCTCTCCGGCGGGCTTTCGGCGCTTGATACATAATGCGGATACGTAATGCGTAGTACATAGCCCTCTCCGGCGGGCTTTCGGCGCTTGAATACATAATACGGATACGTAATGCGTAGTACATAGCTCTCTCCGGCGGGCTTTCGGCGCTTGATACATAATGCGGATACGTAATGCGTAGTACATAGCTCTCTCCGGCGGGCTTTCGGCGCTTGATACATAATGCGGATACGTAATGCGTAGTACATAGCCCTCTCCGGCGGGCTTTCGGTGCTTGATACATAATGCGGATACGTAATGCGTAGTACATAGCCCTCTCCGGCGGGCTTTCGGTGCTTGATACATAATGCGGATACGTAATGCGTAGTACATAGCCCTCTCCGGCGGGCTTTCGGTGCTTGATACATAATGCGGATACGTAATGCGTAGTACATAGCCCTCTCCGGCGGGCTTTCGGCGCTTGATACATAATACGGATACGTAATGCGTAGTCCATAGCCCTCCCACGTGCAGGCGCCGCTGAGTGATGCATAATACGGATACGTAATGCGTAGTCCATAGCCCTCCCACGTGCAGGCGCCGCTGAGTGATGCATAATACGGATACGTAATGCATAGCTCATAGCGCCAATGCGACATCGGCAGCGCTGCACTGTTTGCTATGACATAAAGGCGAAAACATCGTACGTATTGCATAAGACACGCTATGGACTATGCATTCGCGCGACGTCTGACCCTGCCAATGCATAGGCAGGACACACGGGTGCATAATGGGCCGGTACGTATACATAGCAGTACTGATAACGTCTCTCGCCGAGGGGGGAACGAGGAGGGGGGAATGGATGGGGTATGATGCAACCGGGCGTACGGGGTACTTGGAGCACTTGGAGTGCAGTCATTAACCTCACATCCAGGGCCGGGGAGCTAAGAAGCGCACCCAGCGAGCCGGATGATCGGCATCGGGCTACGGGCTAGAGGTAGTCGTCACTTTCCTGCCTCACAAGGGCGGGGCTGTCCCGGAAAGTGAGAAACGCCGGGCAGCGTGACGCACAACTTTACCCTCCCATACGTGTTGGGCTCCTCCTTCGCTGTCCCATCTCCTCATTCATCTCTTTCCCACCTAGGCGGGGCGGTGGGGGGGCGGCGGGCGCGGGGTACTGGGTGCGGCGCGGTGCGTGCAATCGTGTGTTTGGCGTCATGTTGTGTGTGCCTTCGCTTGTTTCTATTCACTCGAAGTTTGCTCCAAGTTTAGCTAAAAAAGAAAACTGAAGTCGAGCTGTGTCGGCGGCCCCAGTTTGGCAGCCGCTCAGATCTCTGCATCACGATGCTGCCGCCTGCTCTGATCTTCTGCTTCGGCCTGCCCGGCAGTGGAGGCGCGGCGACGACGCCGGGAGCGGTTTTCTCTCAGGCGACGCGCTCAACCTGGGAGAGCTTCCCTTCAGCGGGTCGGTGTACGAGCGATCTCGACGCCTTTGTGTGCCGTGGACCTGCCTCGGACTGCTCCAGACAGCGCTGCGTTGACTCTTGCGAAGGAGCTCACCCCACCACGACGAACGTCGAGTACCATTGCGATTCCGAGGGATGCTGGTGCTTCTGCCAGTCCGGCTGCGATTGTCTGCAAGACGTGGGCGAAAGCAGCACGTGGGCGCCGGTTGGCACGCTTGTTCTTCCGGAGGCATGCCTCCACCATCGGGGCGACGCGGCACGACGCCGACGTCGGCTCGACAATTCCGATCCACCGCGGTCGCCCCCTCCGCCGTCATCCCCGCCACATCTGCCTGGCTTGAGCGTCCAGGTCGACGGCCCGTGCCCGCTCACCGACGGCGGCGCCTGCGCTACTTCGCCACACTACCCGAACAAGTACGGCCTTGAGAAGCGGTGCGAGTTCACCAATGTGCCGCCCAACCCGCTGGTCTCCCTCGCCTTCGACGTGGAGCCTTACGCCGACTGCCGCTTCGACTACCTCGTCGTCAGCGGCGTGAAGTACTGCGGCGCCTCTGGCCCGACTGGGATCGTTCCATCGGATGGCAAGATCACCTGGAGCTCGGACTATTCGACGAACGCGGCCGGCTGGAAGATCTCGAAGACGACCCGTTTCGTGCGACCTGTTTCCGACTCGAAGACGACCGAGTCGACCGATCCCCTCTCCATTTCAAGTGACCTCGCCGGCTCGCGGCCATGCTGCGCCTCCTTCATCTACGCCGAGCTCGCCTCCTTTGACGAGACTTCCGGCGCGACCCAGATCGGCGACCCCTTACCCGAGGAGAGCTTCACGACCGCCACGGCCCACTCAGAGATCGAGGCGGCCTCGCTGCTCTTTCTCTACTCTTGTGCGGCCGTGCTGGCGCTGCTCGCGGCATGCATCGGGCTGCTGCGACAGCAGCAGATCAAGAATGGGAGGGTGGAGGGCCGCAGCCATGCTCGACGTAACGGCAACTCCTCTACTATGGAGTCGCGGCTCCGCTCTTTCGCATCCCGAACGGGAATGGGCTCGCGGCACGGTGTGGTCTTCCTGCTGGTTTGCTCCGCCGCACGCCTACAGGCTCTCGAGTGCGACACGCTCGATTTTCAGATCTTCACGAACACCGACTGCAGCGGCTCGCCTGCCGTGACGTCGGCGATGTCCGACCGGACGTGCGTGGCGACTCCGGACTCGGTGCTGACGGGTCAGTATTTTGACGTCGACTTTACGCACTGGGGGATGCACGCCACCAGTGAGACGCTCGTCCACGTGTGCTCCGACAGCTCGATGGACAGTTGCGTGGATCAGTTCGATGGTGGCGAGCGCTGTTCCGACATGCCCTTTGAGACGTGCGTCGCGATAGACGAGGCCCGATCCACCGGCATCAAGATAACGTGTGCACCGGCCGTCGACTGCGCCGTGCCGAGTGAGGGCGTGTGCCTCGAAGACGGCGGTGTCGACGGCGACTGCTGTGGCAACTCTGACGTGGTCGGCTGCGCGAGCGGCTACACCCTCTCCCTGCAGATCGCGATCGACGAGGGCGGCACGTGGGCGCGGCCCGCCGATGCGGGCTTCTATCCGCAGTGCGCGAGTGGAGGCCAGAAGATTGGCAACACGTGCTGCACACCACCGCCGCCACCCGCGCCGCCATCCCCGCCGCCACCGCCGCCATCCCCGCCGCTTCTGCCCGGCTTGAGCGTCCAGGTTGACGGCCCGTGCCCGCTCACCGACGGCGGGGCCTGCGCCACCTCGCCACACTACCTGGACGGTGAGTACGGCCCTGAGGAGCGGTGCGAGTTCACCAATGTGCCGCCCAACCCGCTGGTCTCCCTCGCCTTCGACGTGTCGCCGTCTCCCGAGCTGTCGCCAACATGCACGGATCTCCCGGGTGCATTATCTGGAGATATTTGGTTCGACGGCACCAACGGGTGTGACGCTTACTCAGCCAACGGCTGGTGCGAAGACTATGGCAATACTGATTACAACGGCGAGGGCATGGCCACCGATAAGTGCTGCGTGTGTGGGGGAGGGGTAATAGCGCACATCCAGCCGTCACCGTCACCGTATGAGGGAGACGATGACCCTGACTTGGACTACGACGGCAACGGCGACCCGACAGATGACTGCCCCTACGACTACCTCGTCGTCAACGGCGTGAAGTACTGCGGCACCTCTGGCCCGACTGGGGTCGTTGCCTTGGATGGCAACATCACCTGGGTCTCGGACTATTCGGTGTCCGCGGCCGGCTGGAAGATCTGCTGGGCCAACGCGCCGCCGCAGATGCCGCCGCCTCCTAGCCAACCGCCGCCGCCGCCATCTTCGCCGCCACCCCCGCCGTCACCGCCGTCATCCCCGCCGCTCCTGCCAGGCCTGAGCGTCCAGGTCGACGGCCCGTGCCCGCTCACCGACGGCGCCGCCTGCGCCACCTCGCCAAACTACCCGGACAAGTACGGCCCTTACGAGCGGTGCGAGTTCACCAATGTGCCGCCCAACCCGCTGGTCTCCCTCGCCTTCGACGTGCAGGGAGACTATAGCCCTTACAACGACTACGACGGGAACGGCGACCCCACAGACGACTGCTACTACGACTACCTCATCGTCAACGGCGTGAGGTACTGCGGCACCTCTGGCCCGTCTGGGGTCGTTCCCTTGGATGGCAACCTCACCTGGAGCTCGGACTACTATGCGACCGCGGCCGGCTGGAAGATCTGCTGGGCCAACGCGCCGCCGCAGATGCCGCCGCCTCTGTTACCCCCGCCGCCATCGCCGCCGCATCTGCCTGGCCTGAGCGTCCAGGTTGTCGGCCCGTGCGCTCTCACCGACGGCGGCGTTTGCGTCACGTCGCCAAACTACCCTCGTGGTGCCGGCTCCAAACGCCCCACTAGCCGTCGGTCTCTTGCTCGGGGCAGCGGACTACCTGGCGACGGTCCTCGACTCGAGTGCAGCATTGTCAATGTCCCAGGCCACCCACTGATGGTTGTCGAAGGCGGTTTGAATGGGACTGGCGGCTGGGGCAAAGAGAAGCCTTCAGTGTGCGGCCACGCGAAAGACTACTTCAAGGTGAACGGCAAGGAGTACTGCTCGAACCATCCGGACCTTTCAGGGATCATGGCTCGAGATGGCACTTCTCTGACAGGGATTGTGGTTGCGGGTGCCACCATCAAGTGGTTCTCCTTCCCCGAGAAGCCCAAGCCCCCCTGGAAGGTGTAGCTCGCCAATCGCCCTAGCCTCCCACTTATGCAGCTGACCCCCAGCGTTTTGCGCATCGCAGGTGTGCTGGCCGCCGCCCTCGCCGCCTCCGCCGCCCTCGCCGCCATCGTCGCCCTCGCCGCCCTCGCTGCCACCGTCCCCTCCATCACCGCCATCTCCGCCGCCGCTCCCGCCGCTCACTCCCGCGACCCAGCTCGTCGAGACCGTCGACCAGCTGCGCAAGCGGCTCAAAGACGCCGAGGGCCTCTGCATGGATCGCCCTGGTGCATCGTCCGGAATAGCTTGGTTTGATGGCGAGGGCGACGGTTGTGACAAGTACTCATCCTACAACCGGTGCAACAAGCACGGCAGCACTGACTTCAATGGCGAGGGCAGGGCCAAGGTCCATTGTTGCGTGTGTGGCGGCGGGGATAACCGCGCTCCCAGCGCTAACGTGTCGCTGCAGCTGCAGCGCGACGCACTCTTCCTTCTCGGCGGTAGCGAGCTGTCGTGCCGCACCCCGATCGAAGTCTCGATCCAGAGCAGCCCAGGCTCGACCGCCATCATGAACGCCGAGGGCATGTCGCGCCACTTCCTCGTCTCGGGCGGCTGCCGCCTGACGCTGGAGGGCGACATCACCCTCGTCAACGGTGCCGCGGACGGCGACGGCGGCTCCCTTGTGATTGAGGGCGGCGAGGCGGTCCTTCGCGGCGTCACCATCAGCAACTCCTTCGCCGGCGGGGACGGCGGCGGCATCGCCTCCAAGCAGGGCAGCCGCCTCGGCCTCGAAGCGGTGACGGTCTCGGGCTGCAAAGCGGGAAATAGCGGCGGCGGGCTATTTGCCGAGCTGTCGCAGAGCCTCGTCATCAGGGGCTCCGCCTTTGAGCGCAACGAGGCTGACAAGGGCGCCGCGATTGAGTACGCCTCCCAGGACACGGACAGTGAGACCGCCCTCATCGTCGGCACCGCCTTCGAGGGCAACGTCGGC